TTGAAACATGGCGGAAGCCACCCTTCTAACATTTGGTTATAGTGTGCCAGAATCAGGAACTTCATGAAGATCAGCTAGATGCAGTGAATGTGGAAAAGATACCGGAATGACAGCATCAAAACTTAGAATGCATCACATCTTATAACGCATCCACAAAGGTTAATAACATTAACTCACATATGCTGCAGTGTGTCCTGTTAAAACATGAATGAAAAATCTAGCCTTAAACCAAGCACAACGCTTTATCAGTCTTTTCGTAATATACGCAGATACGGCTTTTCTCTCTCTTAATGTATGAGTGTGTGTGTGTTCAGGTTTGACTAATAATACAAAAACTGACACTTCAAATAAACATTTTGATAATCTCAAAACATTTATTCAGATGCAACACCGAATAAAAGTAATTATGTCTACTTACAATTTAATGTTTTAATTGGTGTGATTAATTATGGAAAAAATAAGGCATATGGGTTTTTGATATAAACTATATATGATATTTCACACGCGCAAGAGTGCTGTTTTTGTCCCCGAATATCTGCTCGATTGCAAATGTGATATTTGTTTTATACAATAGTTCAATAAGGTTAATATTATGTGAAATTTTAAACACAATATTATATTGTTTGTTTTGCTCAATTTTGCTAATGAAAATAGTTCAAACAAAGCCACAGCAGAACTTTTGTGCGTCTCTTAGAAACACAATAGTGTTTCGTTCCTGAATGAATCTGCCTTACGTTTTTCTCGAGTCAATGATTCAGTGAGCAATTCAGATTAATACTATTCATCTATTAATGAATAATAGAATAAAGACAGTCACTTGCTTCGTTTCGGTATTAATCATCCATTTGAAGGAGTCTGTTGAATGAATGATTGAATGACTCACTCAGACTTCCCACTGGAGGTTTTATTTTCATATTTTGAGTGTCAATTCATTTTTTAAAAATCATTTCATATTTAAATATTCATTTTTTTAATATTAATGGCCAGCTATTATCGTTATTTATGCAATGTTGAACCAAAATATTTCTTTCTAAAGCTACTTTTTGTAATGTCTATTCAATGCTTTACTCATCTAACAATGTTTTTAAATTATCTTTTGGGGGTTAATTCTCAGCTAAACTTAATGTGTGATTAGATCTAGAATAAGATTAATTATCAGTGGCTACATCATGGTGTTTCAGATGATTTTGAATATGTATCTAATTAATAATTTTACAAGTATTTCTGTATTTCTGTATTTCTGTATCTTGGATTGACTGAATACAGGAAAGAGGAAGTTGAGCTAGAATCCTAGAAATATCCCTGTACCATATTTTGACTTTAAAATACAACCTTGTAAATAGGATTTAAAGATGAGAATTTATTTGTAACAATTAACTTCATCGCTGGTAACCATTTCAAGTGGTTTTAACTGTGGAGTCAGAACGAGTTTCATTCCTGCCTGGGTTTCACTAGCATGTAGAATGTTAGCATGATTGCAAAGAGATTGCATGCTCTTAGGGAATGTACGGTCTTCAAGTCTGTGCTTGGGCTTAGTACATCCTCATAAGTCTTTTAGGTTGTGGCAGTGCGTTTGGATTGGAAAAATTGAAGTATATTTTCTTGCATCAATGATTTTCTTTGTATACTAAAAAATGTTAGCACTCCAAAACATTTTAGAAGTAATGAAGGACGACATGTTTTCTCTTCTTGTGCTTCTTAAGTCATTGTGCATGATGAGCAGGAGTAGGAAGACCAGGTAGTGCTTAGTGTGCGTCAGTGGGGTTTTTGACTAGCTAGGGTAAATCCCTATACAGTTCTATACAGTTCCATGATGACTCAAGGAATGCCCTTTAATGTAAGCTTGTGCCCCCAAGGTGTTAGTCTCGTTTTACCCGTTTAAACTCAAGCATTTTCAAAGTAACCTGCAGGATGTGTTAAAGGTATAGAGGCTTGTTTTTTGAGCAAAAACCTGCAGACAACAGCAAGCAGGCAGTCAGTTTCTTAAGGGGGGTGGGGGCCTTCCTGGCATGCAGCGGCGTTCCTCGGAAGTGTCCTTTGAGATCCTTTAATGTGACTTTTTCATGTCATTTTGTTTTAGTCACTTGTTCCGTTTAGCCGCCACATGGGAAAAAATTCCACCCAACTCCACTCAGACAATTAGTTTCAGTGATGGCGAATTCATCCACTTCCAGGAAATCTACGTAGTGCCTGAAGAGACTTGAGATATATATACTGTTAAAGGGGAGGTGATAGACTGGTAATGGCCTTGTTTTTGTTTCACGTTGCCAAGTGAAAGATTAGCTTAAATCATTTTTGCCCACATTTCTTCCTTCACAAATAACACTACCATTCAAAAGTTAAAAGCATTAAATTCATCAAAAGTGTCTAAAATGTTCTATTCATCAAAAAACTTTTCACGGTTTCCACAAAAATACTATGTAACACAACTGTTTTCAACATTGAGAGCACCAACTCTGCATATTAGATTGGCTTCTGAAGTATCATGTGACATTGAAGACTGGAGTAGAGGATTCTGAAAATTCAGCTTTGCCTTCACAGGAATAAATTGCATTTAAAAATATATTAAAATAGAGAACAGTTATTTGAAATTGCAAAAATATTTCACAATATTACTGTATTTTTGATCACATAAATGCAGTCATTAGCAACATAATAGTCGTCTTTCAGAAACATAAAAAAAAATCTTACCAACCCCAAACTTTTGAATGGTATTGTCTTGAGACATTGGCACATTCTTTGTGTGTTTAGTAATGCTTAGTTATTTGGACCCGTTTTTTAATGTCATTGTTTTCTGTTGATCTTTTTGAGTCAATGTGTTGGTGATCTTTTGAGGGTGTTTGACCTATACAGAGGTGAGTTTGCGACCTTCTTTTGAGAGATGCTCTCTTAAAAATGATTCAATCCACATGCATGTCTGAGTTTACCATCACTGTGCACCTGAGCCCAGGTAGTTCATCACAGAATGGCCGGCTTGCTTTTTGTTTAACCCCAAACATTATTATTCATATGTGACATTAAAGTCTCACAACAGCAATGGGCTGGAAGTCTCACAGAGATTATTACCAGTGAGTGGGTGAATAGACAGTGCTTTCAATCTCAAATGGAGCTAAATATAGTTTGTTCTCATTCATCCATGCATGCACACACGTTAAATATTGGTTTTGTCTCATGGTTTCTTGCTCGTATGTAATTATTTGTCAACTAGGACAGTGGTTCTCATCTGGTTGGTCACTGGTCTATTCCTTAAGGGTTGTGGGCAGTGCATGATTAGCTGCATTTTGTATTTAGCATAGTTTGGTTGGCAAAATAAATAGACATTTTAGGTTTTAAAAGGGTTGATAAGCACAAAATTTACGGATGTGCATCCAATCAAACTCTGAAATGTTTCTACAAATTCATCTGAAACGTGACAAATCGGTCAGATGCCAACATGGACAGGTTGCGTGACACCCATTCATCCTTTAAAAAGCCATTAACCAAACTATGCAAGGTTAAAGAAAATATGACAGACTACATAGATACGGGTTCTCCTGCATTGAGGGTAAACATGGTTCAAGTAAACCATATTTAACAGGAAACTATTGAAAACTTGAGACATTTACAAAACAAAATTGTTAATTTTCCTGTTCAGCATACGTCATGTTTACAGATTTCCATATTGTTGGACTTATGATTGTAAGGACTTTCTGTTTACTTTTGTGAAGTGTGTATTGGGTCATTAATTGTTGAACCATATATCATAGTAGGGTTATTTTTGCCAGTTAGCTAAGAGTTTTAATGTGTTTTAATGCCAGTTTTTCATAATAAGTGAATTAAATACTTACATTTTGATTTTCTCTTTATATTTAGAACTTGCCAAGGCAAGAAAAATAAGTTTGAGTATATGTAATATGTGAATCGAATTGAACTGAGTTGAAGTTTGGCATCAGTACAGAAATGGCTTCATATCTCGTAAAAATTGAGTAAAGACAGGAAAGCTAATGTAATACGCATAGTTCCATCTCTGAAATTGAGAAAACCTAACCATACATGCACACCTGTAACCGCACGTCAGTTGAATTCTGTATTAATGCAGTAAGTCGTGATGTTGCTTGGCAACTATAGTCAATTCAGCTCTGCTTTGCATTGTGCCAAAAGGCAGAACAACGGATTCTTACTTGTTTTGACTCGTTCTGGACAAGTTCTCAACAACGCTCTTTCATTTCTCATTACATTTACATTCACCTTTTCTCACATGTAAAAAATCTAAATCCGTCCTGCCTGCTGAGAGCTGTGCAAAAATACAAATAAATACTCTATACCAGGGCTCTCCAAACTCGGTCCTGGAGGTCCATTGTCCTGCAGAGTTTAGCTCCAACTTGCCTCAACACACCTGAATCAGCTAATCAAGGTCTTCCTAGGCATACTAGAAACTTCCAGGCAGGTGTGTTTAATTGGAGCTAAACTCTGCTGGACACTGGCCCTCCAGGACCGAGTTTGGAGACCCCTGCTCAATACAGACAAATGTAAATGTATCTACAGCAGCAGCACAAAATATATACCACCCCATGGTGTATAATCCTATTTTTTGGCATTGCCTAGTTGCTATGGTTTCTGCTTTGGATTTTGGGCACGGTTGCTTAAGTTCCTTTCCTAACCAACAAGTTGGTTGGTTTTACAAAACAGGAAAATTCTTTCACAACCATAGATGAGCTGGATTGTAAAAGTGAACAGAGTTAAACCGTTTGTAAAGAGCTAGTGAAAGGATCAGTGTGAGTCTTTATTCTGTTGATGTGAGGTGGAGAGTGTTTCAGGTCATTGTTTACACAGCAAATGTAGTGTTAATTATTAATAAGAGACTTCACCTCCTGGGGACTCTTCAGCTACGTTGTGCACTTACGGTCAGAGAGAATAGGAGCAAATGCACTAAATGTCTGGATTGTAGTTCTTGCACAAGTCATCAGTGCCCTCAAAAGTACTTTATGCCCTGGACATGGCTTTCATTGTTGTGGCGATGCTTTTAACAAAAATGAGTCTTCCATCCATTAAGATCAGTAGGCCTACTTATTGCCCCATTTCAGTAGTAGACGGGTTTGTCGTAGACTCATTATATTCCATGGCAACAGTGTTTGCTTTATCTTCCCACCTCCTCTTCACCCCCTGCTCCCCACGGAAGAATGAGTGAGTGAGATTTCCTTGAAATGTTTAAGTAATGTTTGTTGCTTGTTTGTAGTTTTAGAATTATTTTTTTTCTTTTAGATTTTTTTTTCCAGTAAAATATTCAGATTTTAGGTTAAGTTTATAGCTAAAAATTTGTATGTGTGTGTGTGTGTGTGTGTGTGTGTGTGTGTGTATATATGTATGTATGTATGTGTGTGTGTATATATATGTATGTATATGTGTGTGTGTATTTACTGTATATGTATGTATACACACACAAACACACACACAAATGTTCTTACGACTATATATACGTCATGTTCTTATGGGGAAAAAAAAATCAGGCCTGATATATTAAATGTGTTCTTTTAGTTGTTTCCATTTCAATTTGTCAGTTTCAAACAGTTATTTGCATTGTGGCATTGTGGATATGAAGACATTTGAGTGGAGTCACAGTGGAAGAGGGTGTGAAGGGAAGAGTGTTCTTTGCTAATAATCTCAGAATTTGTTTAGCTTTAGAGCTTGATTTACCTTTGTGAAAAGTACTACATACACCAGATTTTCAGTCACTCAATGATAAGTGATATTTTTCACCTAGTGATTTCAAGCAAGGTCAACAAATAATTGAGCTCAAACCACCTGGACTAATCCTCAAGTGTGAACAGACTGTTTACTTTTGCTGTTTCAGGCACTGATGTTCCCTAAAATCTTCCATGTATCCATTAGTGCAGCAGCAGGAAAATATGTTTGTTTTTCTTTCTCCCCAGATCTGGATTTCCTCTCCACATCATCCCTGTTTCTGTGATTCGCTCTGTTAGTGTGTCAGGATGGGCTAAAAACATTTGCTAGCACCTGCGCACCATACATCTGGGCCCTCCACAGTCTCGCCTGTGCACAGGTAAACAGGCACACATGGCCCTAAGTAATTCATTCATAATTCAATAGTATTTTAGCTGAGAAAAAACAATTCTGATTGTATTAGTTTTTCTTGTCCACTGCCCCTTTATTTTTTTGAGAGAGAGAGAGAGAGAGAGCGAGAGCGAGAGCAAGGTGACTGGCAGATATAATTCCCATCATTATATAACAGAAAAATGATCCCGCACACCACAGCTTGCTAAAATTGCCTTCCCCTCAGTAGAAATTGTGTCGGGCCAGGGTTTGCATCGGGCCCCCTCTCTGATCAGGGCCCTTGGAATCGTTACGGCCCCCCTGGGTGTGGTTGACCCTTGTACTAGTTTTGATCATTATATAATAAAATGCAGTTTAATGATCATAAATGACATGTATGCTAGATTATTGACATCAAACATTTATTGTATACAATATTTAGTCAAAATTCACTAAAATAAGAAAAGTGTTTTAGTTTATAGTTTGGACATTATGCATTTTTCAAATCAAAAGATAATGCTGTTTTTTGTTGGAAATCAATGACTGGCTCATATGTAGTCTTTAAATCACGACTGATCCCAGAGGCCAGCTGGCTCATGAGGCCACTCTAAATTTAGTCCTTTATGTCGTACCTGTTACGCTAGACTACCTCTAAACTCACATACAGCTCTGTTCCATAGGAGATACTAGGCCTTATACTGGTGTCCCTTAGAGAGTTACAGCGAAGGGTGTAGGTTATACAAAGAATAAGACAGGAGTGAGTGGAAAGTGGGCTAGGGTAGAGCAGACAGAATGGAAAAGTAAGCTGAACTGAAGAATGTGAAGTTGAATAAATGAGAGAAACCACGTGTAACAGAGCAGATGGGTTGCTGGGAGACAAAAGCAATGAAGCAAAAGAAAGAGGGAGGAGTTGGTGAAAGAGAAGCAGCAGGTGGATGAGAAAGTGACATTTTTAGATTAAATAAAGGAAGTAATATTAGGTTTCAATAAATGTGAATTGTCCGAAGTGAAACATTTCTCATATTATTGGAATTTTGAATGTCAAGAGACAAAATTATTACAAGTCGTCCCAAAAAAAGTGTTCTTTATGAAATTGCGGGTTAACTCTCATATAGAGTTAAACATAAAGAGGTTCCCTTAGTTTAGTTTAGCTTGCCGGTCTAAAATTAAAACAGCCATGCTTGAAATTTGGTCCTTCAAGTAACTGATGTCCTTGTGTCCACTGATCATTTGTCTTCTCGACTTACAATGACTTTAGTCATCTATGGTTGACATTTACGCTTATTAATATTATTATTATTATTAGCATGCCGTACTTAAACACTTTAGTTGCCATCATCTGCACAAACAATCTTTGAAGCATTACATGTTTTACCATCAAACAGGATTTGCTTTGTGGTTATCTGCGTCACGTAAATTTTTTTGGGCATGTGGTTAAGAACCTTTTTGACCCTTTTTTTTTCCAAACAAGTAAAAAATTCTCATTTCTTTTTTTTAACCTTTTTGAAAGCAGTCTCTTATTCTCACCAAGGCTGCATTTATTTGATCAAATATTGTGAAATATTATTACTATTTAAAACAATTGCTGTCTATTTTAATATATTATAAAATGTAAATTTTTCATGTTGTGGCAAAACTGAATTTTAAGCAGCCATTATCCAGTTTTCTGTGTCGCATGATCCTTCAGAAATCATTCTAATATGCTGATTTGGTGCTAATTTCCTATTATCAATGCTGAAAACATTTGTGCTGCTAAATATTTTTGTGGAAACGGTGATACATTTGCTTAGGATTCTTCGATGAATAGAAATTTCAAAAGAACAGCATTTATTTAAATGGAAATCTTTTAGTAACGTTTATAAATGTCTTTGTCACTTTTGATAAATTATTATCAGCTCTATCACTTTGGCTCATAAATGTTTAGTTTTAGGAGCCAGTGGCTGCCTAGTCACCTTTTAGTCTGTAGTCCTGAGAGTAGTCCCTAACGTCCTTACCTATGTTATTTTTTTTGTCTCTGCTGTTTAGGTGGTGACTCTCGACACCATGCAGGGACCTCGGAGGAAGATGAAGGTCATGGTGATGATGACGATGGTGTTCATCTTCATAGTGGTGGAGGTCTCTCGCAATGCTGGGAAGGGCGACAGCAACAGAAATAAGCAGCTGGTTCCCACGAAGCGTTTCTGGGCAAAAGATCTTCCCAGTGACACCTACTGGAATCGCCTGCAGCAACAGCTGAACTACATCAACAACCGCAACCTAGGAAAGCTCAACTTCACAATTGATAAGCTTCCAGACTGGCTAAACGACACAGTCAGTCTGGACTCCTGTGAGCCAGACTTCAGGGTAACCACCCAAGTCAAGGATTACAACTCGCTACCGGATCGCTTCAAGGACTTCCTGCTGTATATGCGCTGCAGGTCCTATCCCATCGTGGTGGACCAGCCAAACATGTGCAAAGACCCACCGTTCCTCCTCCTAGGTATTAAATCTTTAGTCCCACACTTTGATCGACGTCAGGCCATCCGCGAGTCGTGGGGCAAAGCTGGTCGCCTTGCAAACAAGACTGTCGTTACGGTGTTTCTTCTTGGAAACGCAGCCATGGAGGACCACTTCCCTGATCTCTCAAAGATGCTCCACCATGAGAGCTCCATACATGGAGATATTCTTCAATGGGACTATAGGGACACCTTCTTCAACCTCACCATCAAGGAAGTGCTTTTCCTGGAATGGCTGAGAACCCGCTGTCCTGGAGTCAGTTACATTTTCAAGGGCGATGACGATGTTTTTGTTAACACCATCCGCATTATAGACTTCCTAAGCAACCTTTCTCATGCCAAAGCCAAGGAACTGTTTGTAGGAGATGTGATCACCAACGCTGGTCCGCATAGAGACAAAAAGGTCAAGTATTTTATCCCGGAAAGCATGTTTGTTGGAACGTACCCAGCCTATGCGGGTGGGGGCGGTTATTTGTTCTCGGGACAGCTGATCCAGAAACTTCATAACATCTCAAGGTCGGTGCCCCTCTACCCCATTGATGATGTATACACAGGTATGTGCCTTAAGAAACTGGGCCTTGCCCCTGAGAAGCACAAAGGCTTCAGAACCTTTGATATCGAGGAGAAATATCGCAATAATGCCTGTGCCTATAAAAGCCTGATGCTGGTCCATCCCAGAAGTCCTCAACATATGATTCAAATCTGGGCCTGGCTGAATGACCCAGCCTTGAACTGTCAGTGAACTGCTGATCCAGGGTTTTGGCTGCTTTAAAGGGATAGTTCACCCAAAAACGTTAATTCTGTCATCATTTACTCACCGTCATGACATTCCAAACCTGTATGATTGACTGACTGACTTTCTTTCTTTTGACCAGAAAAACACTGTGATATTTTTCAATGAAAATCAGTGGGATCCAGGGTTTTTTTTTGGAACCCCATTGACTTCCATTATATGGACATAGGCATTTTTCAGAATGTATTCTTCTGCAGTTTGGAACAACAAAATTTTGGGTGAACTATCCCTTTACTATTTTACCGTTGTTCTAATGTGATTTTATTTAGCATCTTTATGTACTTCATTTCATGTCAAAGGTCAGAAGCAATGATGAGCTCTTTAGATGTGGCTCTGATTTGCTACCCACATAGTATTGCAATTGCTTGACTTTTTGTGTCAAGAGATTCTGCTGATAATGTTACAAGTATTTATACAGTGCTCTCTGGTTGTGAGATCAGCAGTGCTGAGGATTGTGGGGAATGTAGTTCAGCTGGTCTGGACATGGCACTGACAATACACTGCACGCCTAGGCATAAATATCTGTTGATCATCTGTTGACAATTCTGTTGCATTATGCTAAAATGAACAGAAATGTTTGAACACTCATACATTAAGAAATCTTTTTAAAGCATCTATGCAGCCATTACAAGCCTAATCCATACGTTCTGTTTTAGTTCTCCGTAATGTGTAGGAACATATATTGCCTTCCTGTTTTGCACACAAGCAGCCCATGCGTGTTTAGATTAATGTGGAGTTGGCTCATTTTAGAGCCCTATTTGTGGGGACAGTGGTTTTGGATAATTAAATTAGGGCTGCATGATAAATCGCATGCCATTGTCATGCGCAAACTAAATATAGGTTGCCTACCCAAACCTCTACATACTGTACATGATTTTTGATTTCATGCATCACTGTCTGTCTTCCTTATAGATTATTTTTTATTTTTCAGGAGTGGACACAATCAGTTGCAAGTCATAATCTTAGCTTTGTATTAACAGATTAGCCAAAACCGGGTCATTGCGTCAAAGAAATGTGTAAAAGGTACAAAATCATTGACTCCTTTGCTGAAAAACCAGACTAAATGCTTGCTTGTTACCCTCTCCGATCTGATTCTTGGTCAAAAAAAATCAAGCTTGTAAATCAGTTATGTGGTGTAAAGAGAGTGATAAAGTTCAAAGCAAATGAAAGGCCATGGGGTTTCATTTTTCATTTTAAATCCAGGGATCCCACAGTTTACCTTCTTGACTAAATGAATGAAACTTTGTAGCCAATTTTCCAGACCCAAATTAAGCATGTGTCTGTCGCTGTCCTTGCTTTCTCTCTCCGATAAAGAGGCCAGGAAACAGGGTCTGAGCTGGATGACTTAATAACTAAATTTGACAAAACGGCTAACTACAGTTACAGTGACCCCTGCTGGTCTGCATATGTGTTTTTTCTTCTCTCTATTTTTTTTTCTTTTTTAAATAAACACTGGACCTTTATTCATAATCTGCCTTCAGCTTGATGGAATATTTAAATCATGTCTATGGCCTGCCAGTCAACTAGTAATGCATATATATTTTTCTGTTTATGTTTTGGCTATGACTGTTTATCATAAACCGTGTCTCCCTATTTCAAACAAAAAAAGACACTTAGGCCTAGTAATTATCACAGGGTGTGCTGACTATATCCGCTCTATAAATATAATCCATTAGTTTTCGCTCTGCCTCATTGGTTGTTTGTTGAAGAGCTAAATCAAGCTTGCGTCATGTAGTGTTTATGTATGTGGTGTCACAATTTGTAGTGTTTAATATTAAGTTGTCCAAAAGCTATGAGGAATGAAGCGGTTTTATATTGACTCCGTTAATAGCAGACAAGCAAACAGTTTAACAGCCTGATGTTGTGTTTGGTGAGAGAAACAAAGTGTTTACATGAGTTCATGAACAGTACAAAATGCTTGTATTTATAAACTACAATGTTATTCATGACAACGGTGGATTATGCAAGTTTTTATACACTGGTATTTAATGCACTCCCGTGAGTTTCAAACTCTTTAGGCCATTGATGTTCATGCATCTGTGCATAACATTGCAGAAAATGAACTCCTGTTCTTGCTTTATGTTGTCCACAACTGTGATGTTTATGTATCAGACATTATTTTAAAAAGCAATTTAGTTTAGTTTAAAATAATTATTTTTGTCCGTCATAAGATATTCAAATGTATTTGATGCCTTAAAATGTGGCTTTAGTTGTGCATGTATGTATATTTATGTGTATTTATGGTGATGCATGTGTGTGTATATATAGGCTGGGGAATATGATTATGAAAATCCAGTTCTAAAAATGAAATTAATGCTGTCTTTTTAAATGAATCTGTTTGTATTTTTGAATTATTACTCTGTCATGTGTCTATATGGTATTTCTGAAACGGTAATAGCTTTCAGGTATTTCACTTTTCCCCACAAAAATAATTTTGGAGCAGTCAAATTACTTTTTTTGCCACATATTTATATGCCTATTATTTTCTGGCAACGCCTCTTACCAAAAACAGTCAACAACACAAACATTATTACCAAAATGTGCCTGTTAATAATTCTGATTGTTAATCATTGTCTGCCTGTCTTTTGTAGTTGAATATGCACATTTATGTTTATTTGTCACGTTTACATCTGCCTCTTTGAATTTAATTCTTATAATAAATGGAATAAACTGATGTTTTGTACCTCTGTCATTCCTGTCTGAGTGCTTGAGTACTATTATTAATTTTCTGTTCCGTTCTGCTATCAAATTTGATCATATTGAAATTTGATAAATGATGAATACATTTTTTCCTCTGCCCTACTTTTGTGATGACAGTATGGTGTATGTGTCTAGCTGGATTTTTTTTAACCAGCAGAGGGCATCTTGGTTCTTTGTGTGTCGTATAGCATCAGTGTGCCTGAGCTCTCCTGGAGTGGGTAATTTTTGTCTGACACATACATTATCAGTAATTTCTTAAAGCTGGATGTCACCCTCTCTTTGATTTACTAAGGTACTTTGTCATGATCAGTTCTGTGAAACTTGTTCCAACATGCAGCGTCATTTTTCCTCTTAACACTCTGACATTTAATTATAGCAGTGCTCACAAATCATCTGTGGCTCTGTAAGAGGTCTAGAGCTCAGCATAACACAGAATTTTCATACCTAACTACACATAACATGTTCCCTGTACTGCAAAAAGCACTAAATCTTATTCACAGTTCGTACTTTTCTCTCAGTACTTGATTTGTGTCATTTACTACCTGCTGAGATAATGCAGTACATGCACTTTCTTGTTGGTCGCTTGGAAAGAAAGGTGTCTGCCGAAAAGGTAAACAAAAAAATTGTTTTGGTGTAAATGTAGTCAAAAAATAACATGGGCTTGGACATTTCTTCTAACAGGATTTTATGTAAAAATGTATATTTTAAAACTTGTGGAATCCATCTCAGCTTCAGACATTAATGCAAAAGGGAGACAAAAATTAATTAGTTAGGCAAAAACTAATTTTATAATTATATACATAATAAGTAAATATAATTATTTTAATTAGGGCAATGATGAATCGCATCCAAAAATAAGTTTTTGTTTACATAATATATGTGTGTGTACTGTGTATATTTATTATGTATATATATATAAATAAATAATATAAAATATATTGTTTATGTATTAAATATATTTATATATAATAAATTATATGAATATAATTATATACATGTAAAAACGTAAATATTTTCAAAATACATACTGTATGTGTGTATTTATAAATACATAGTAAATATACACAGTACACACACATATATTATGTAAACAAAAACTTTTATTTTTGATGCAATTAATTGCGATTAATCGTTGGTCAGCACTAAAATTCATGTATATTTTCAATTCAGCTTTTCAATCAATTTGGTATGTTGATCATTTAGAAATACTGTACATTACCGTTTAAAAGTTTGGGCTTGGTACAACATTTTTTTTTTTTTATTGATGTTTTTGAAAAGTGTTTCAAGTAATATTAACAAGTAATACTGTAATATTGTGTAAAACAAGTAATATTTCACAAACAAGCAATATTATGAAATGTTATTGCTATTTAAAATACCTGTTTTCAATTTATACATATAGTTTACTTATTCTATATTTATTCCTGTGATGGCAAAACTGAATTTCAGCAGTCATTACCCCAGTCTTCAGTGTCACATGATCTTTCAGAAATCATTCTAATGTGATTATCAACATATCAATTTGGATGAAAGTATATTGTTTTAGATAGTCTTACAATGTGACAAATACATTTTAAAACTAGAATCTTGCTGCATTTTAATGATAAATTCGAAATTAATAATCAAAGAGACATTTGAATTATCATATTTCCCCATTGTCTTTGAAATATCGGTTTGGGAGGCAGGTAGGCATTGCATAGCCTATAGTGGCGGGATGTTTTTAAGCAGAAAATCTCAAAGTGTGAGTTTTGTAAATTAAAAATTGCACTGTCACACCCTTTCCTGACATCTTGTCCCTGAAGACATGGAGCGAGAGGACGGATGAGGAGTTGCTATAGAGACTTCCTCTCTACGGATGGTGAGGTGATCTTCTGTACGGCTAGAATCATGAAAGGATGAGTGTGAATGTGTGATTGAGAGATTTTGGATGGTTTCAGGGTGTCTCAGAGACCAGATGACAATCTAATCAATCAGGCATGTGTGTGTGTGTGACACACTGTCGTATTTCAACTTTGCTGTACTGTGGTGATCAGGGTAGGGGAGTAACACTATTTACAATCATAGCCTCTGGGAATGAGTGAAACTAGTGTGTGTGCAATAGGATACATGCGTTTGTGTAACTGAAAACAATAGCAGATGAAGAATGATCTGAGCATGTAGGGAGTATAACATCATTACCTTTTACTGTCCCTCTCCTCCACACACGCAGAGCAAGCATTCGTGGCCATGTATGGATATGAGAAAGCAGAAATGAGGCATAAAAGAAATCTAGTTGATAGAGAAGCATGTGCTGAATTCTGTTCAGCTTGGCTGTGGTGAATCCAGCTCTGCCAA